GAGGAGGAGGAGGAGGAAGAGGAATGGAAGGAGAGAGAACCCTCCTGGAAACACTGAACTGAACAATACACCCAGCAACAAGTATGTGTGATTTCCCCACCCACAGTGTCCATTTCCCTACATGCTTGCTGACACCAGGGTTTATTGTTTTTAACCCTTTGCTACTTTGATTCTGGTCCGGTGACCTACCTTTCTCACTCTGACGGGAATGGGTGTTTCTCCTTCTAGAGCTAGGGTGCTCACACAGGGATAATGCTGTCCCTCAGGGGACAGTTGTCAATGTCTGGAGACATACTTGGTTGTCACACTTGGCGTGGGGGCTGCTACTGGCATCTTGTGTGTGGAGACTAGGGATGCTGTTCAATACCCTGCAGTACACAGGGCGGCCTTCATTGCAAAGAATGTTTGGGCCCCAGTGTCAACAGTGCTGAAATAAAGAAATCTGCTCTTGGAGCCCCCCACAGCCTTACCTGAGGAGTCTGGGCAGAGAGCATCTAACCGGCGGAGATATTCACGCTGGGAAGTCAGGATTGTGTACCCCGTCAGGGCTGTGGAGCCCAGGGGACGGCCCCCATTTTCATATTCCTACAAAAGGTGACCAAAGGACCGGCTTGGGACAGGTCTAAACTGTGACTTCCATGACCCATTGTGAGATCAGGGGAAGGTTTCTGGTTAGCTGGGGAAATCCTCCACCTCCCCTCCCTGCCTCTACCCCTCCCTTTCTTCCTCCCCCATAGAAGAGTACCCAGCCCCAACTGTGTGCTGGGCTGGTCCCAAGTGCTGTAACGAGAATTACCTCATTAAATCTGCACAGCCCCTTTTCTTATCAACCATCATCATCCCATTTCACAGAAGTAGAAACTGTGTCCCAGGGCGACAAGTGACCTGCCCTAATCCCCCAGCCAGAAAGCAGGGCATGGGTGTGATGTGAAAAGGCCCTTCTTGGTTTCAACCTCAGCATTGCTGACAACCATGAATGAACCCTTGCCCCTGTCCTGGGCCTCAGTTTACCCACATGGCACAGCAGGAGATGGTCACTTACCCCAGGCCAAGCACACAGAGACCCTCAATTCAGGCTGAAGAAAGGAGGGGGCCTATTCTGGGAGCTGGACCCAAAACTCATGCTGGGGAGGGTGGGATGGAGAATCTGGAAGCTGAAGGAACGCAGGCCACTCACTCACCTCCCTGTGGCTGAACCATTCCAGGCGGCCATCCCCACGCAGGACACAGAAAACTGGCTGCCACTGGGGCGGGTGGCCCCAAAGCTGGGTTAGGGGCCCTCGGTGCTCTCGGACTCGGGGCAACTTCTGTGGGAGGAGGGGCCCTCAGATGTCAAAGGCTCAGGCTGGTGTCCCCGTATCCAGACCACCCGGACAGCTCCCACTGCATCCCAGGTGCCACTAGGTACAGGGCACTTGGGTGCTGCTACGTGGCCCTCCTATTCTTTATCAAGCATGCTCACATGCTCTTGTTTGTGGTCCTTCCACATTTGAATTGATGTAATCCTCCCCACAGCCCTGGGGGCAGAAGCTCTTGTCATCCCCACTTCATGCAGAAGTGGCCCTTCCCCACTTGAGCCTCAGATGAAACCCTAGCCCTGACCAACGTCTTGATTGCAGCCCTTGAGAGACCCTGAAAGAAAGGATTCAGAGCGTCTTTCTCTAGAATCCTGACCCACAGGAACTGTGAGATAATACATGTGTGTGTTTTTTAAGCTACTGATTTGTAATACATTGTTGCACAGCATCAGCTATCCGATACAAGTGGGGTTGCTGGGTCATGGAGCAGATGTAGTTTAACTGTATGAGAAACAGCCAGTCCTCTGTCCACAGACCAAGCCCTCAGGCCAGGGGACATTTTCTTTGCTCCTTGTTTCATTTTCTTTGCCATTCTTCTCACTACCTGACCACTTGAATTGTGTGCTTTGTGTGGTCACTGAGTCCCAGAGCAGCACCTGATGCACAGTTGGTGCTTGATAAATATTCTATGAATCAATTGTATCTGTGATATTTTGAGTCTTTAACGGGATGGTGGAAACTCAGGTGTTTGCTAATGGTTCTCCATACTTTTTCCCAGGTCTGAGAATTTTCATAAAAAAATATTGTTAAAACGTGATTATAGAAATTATATATAAAATACAAATATATAAAGTAAGTATTATATAAAATGTTCAAACTGAAGTGAGGGGAAGTCCCTCCACACTGCTTGAAACCCAATATCAGCTGTGCCCTGGCACAGGTGGCTGGAACCAGCAGGTGGTGAAAAGTACAGGTGGGGGTGATGCCTGGGTCCCATGATTCCCCAAGCAGGACAGGGAGAGTCCCAGGTGGGAAGGGGCTCTGTGTCCAGAGCGCCAAGGAGCCCCCACCCCAGGGCAGGCACAGCTGGGAGAAGAGGCATCTGAGAGAGATAGTAATCTCAGAGCCCTGATGGGGTAGGGGACCCTGTGTTGGTAAAGATTATGGGCTCTGGGTTCAAACCACACCTCTGCCTCTCACTGGCAGTGTGACCTCAGGTAGGTCACTTTACTTCTCTGTGCCTCAGCTTCCTCACTGGTCAAAGACCCATATCCCAGGTTGGCGAGAACTGAGTAAGTTGTGCCACCACATGGAGGCCCCAGGTGCCATTGCCAGTTCAGCCAGACATGTGGAGCTGGAGCCAAGCAGCTCCAGGTTCCTCTGTTCCATCCACAAACTGTTCCTGCACCCCTACTATGTGCAGGCACCACGTGGGCACAAGGAGTCAGTGGAGGAGAAGGGGAGACAAGGTCTGGCTCCTGTTGTTGAAGAGCAGAGCCATGGAGGTGATGAATGTGTGACCTGGGGCTTCAATGGAGAAGCAGTGGAATGGGATTTCCAGAGGAGGTGCCTGACTCAGGCAGGGGTGATGATAATCCAGGAAGGCTTCTTAGAAGAAGTGGCAGCCAAAGTGTTACCGGCCAACGGAGTAGTCCCCACCCCCACTACTGAGAAACTTTTAAGTTTTCTTTCCCATAAGAATGTTAAGTATAGAAATGTTAAGTCTCCTCCCTAGATTCTCAGTTCCTTAGCTCTTGGCTTTGATTACTTTTCTAACCAGTTTGTGAATCCTAGACTAAAGACCTCCCTCCCCCTGCTTCTTAATTGCTTTGTAAATCAGTTTCTGAATCCTAAACAGTAGATTGTAGAGCTAACAGATTTATTAATTAAAATCTATTTATCCTCATTCAAGGGCCTTAGAGATACAGATGACACCCCAACAAGGTTGCCAGTCACAATCAAAGAAGCCAGCGCGGTCTTCCAGGCGGAGCTCGAGACCCCTTCCTCCCATCTGAGATCAACTAGGGTGAGAGTTCCGTGAATCCCCCAATAGGCAGGGACAGCTCCATGCCCCTGCCCAGCAGGAAGAAGATACAGAATTAGAAACCTCCTGTCCCTCAGCTTCCCATAGAGATTTAACGGGGATCACATCTGGTCAAGGGGAAAACTAGGCAGGCAGTTAGAGGCAGACATTGGGTCTCTGCATTCCTGCATATCCCACAGAATGTGACCGCCCGGTGACCTCCCCTCTCCACCCAAAACTTCTTTTCATTGTAACTATCTACCCCTAAAACAAATGGGTACAAAATACCCCACTAGATCAGACCAGTCACTCACAACTGCACAGTACCTCTTGTCAATCACAGGTGCCAACCAAGTGGTCCCACGCCCAGAGGGGAACAGCCCATTTTAGAGTAAAGGAGATAAAAACTCCAAGTCCTGGGAAGTCCATCCTTCTCCCCTTTTTGACCACTTCTTCCCTTTTTGAACCCCTTCCTCCCTTTTTTTTTTTTTTGAGCCTTTTGAGCCTCACCTTTGCACGTGGCCCGCTCCAAACTCTTTGGAATGTAATTTCTCTTCTAATAATGGGCCCTTGAGCCATTCTCTACTGCTTGGGCCTACTTCTACTTCTTTGAAATGTACTATCTCTTCGAATAAACTTTTTATTCAGTTACTTAACTCTGACATCTCATTCAATTCTTTGCTTGAGTTGCCAAGGACCTGGACTTTGCGCCGAGAAGGGCTCACTCTCCGTCAACAAAAGCACAAGGAGGAATAAGGGAGCGCACACAAGGCAGAGGGCACCCACCACACATGAAAAAATTAGGGGGTCCAGTGGCTGTACCGTGCCCTTGAATGTGGCACTCAGACAGGGCACAGGGCTTTTGCACTGACTGTGCCCTCTGTCTACAATGCCCTTCCCATTGTAGGCTCCAGATCCGGCTCCTCATCCTTTACATCTCAACTCAGAGGGGCCCCCCTGTACCCCAAATGCCAGCTCCCAACAGCACCCTTCCTCTTGTTTTCCTAGCACCTATCAGAAGTTATCCCACATCATGATATGTTAACTTGTTTGGGATAATTTTCTCCAATCAGACTGAGCTCTGGAGGGCAGAGCGGGATCTGTCTCAGTCTCTGCTATGTCCCCAGCCCAGGACGTGCCATGCAGTAAATGCCCAGTGAATGTTACAGTCACCCCAGGTCGTAGCACCAGCAAGGACAATGGTGTGAGGAGGGCCTCCCCCACTGAACCAATAGCCTCTGAAACCTTCCTCACTCAGCTGCCCCCCCCTACCCTGTTGGTGGCACCCACTTTGCTATGTAGCAATTGACATCCAGCCAGCTCCTGGGGACCCAGCTCCCGGGAGATCTGCTTCAGGATGGAGGCTGCCAGCTGCCCGCGGTATAGGGGCAGGAAGTTCCTCAGCAAGGCATCCACCTGGCCTGCAGGAATAAGGAGACAGTGAGGTGCCTGAATCAGGCCACCTGCCAGGGGAGGGTGGAATTAGGAGGGAAGCAACTCCTGAGCTTCTACCTTCTCCTCAAACCCAAAAGCTGCCCCACAAGACATGCTTCTAATTCCATAACCTTCTGCTGCCTGTTTCCATCCACATTGGGGGTGGGGGTGGGGGCAGAGGGGAGTTAAGGGACTCTGGATTCATTTATAACTGATGTACAACAAACTTTAATTGTATAATGCATTGAGTTTAATGAGCTTTCATACATGTCCACATCCATGAAACCACCACCACGATCAAGATAATGAACAGGTCCATTGCACCCAAAAGTCTCCTTATGCCCCTTAACTAGGGAGATTTTTGAACTCTTTTAAAAACCTCACCCCAGCACAAGGGAACTTTCTGCGGTGATGGAAGTGTTCTGTATCCTGATCTAAGAGGTGATGACACAAGTGTAAAGCTCTTCAACTTGTTCCCCTAAGATGCACGCGCTTAACTGTATGTAAAATACACAGTCCATCTCACTGCATGGAATGTGGACCCGATGAATGGAGCTTCAACAGCCTTTATGAGCCATGAGGTAACCTCAGGCACAGAAGACACATATAGTAGAACCATGAGATGGAAGGAGTTGGGCTGTTTAACTTTTATCAGTCTGCCTGCCACTATACCTCTCCATAGGAGAGAGAAATAAATCTTTGCTTTGTTTAAGTCACTACAAGAAAAAAATCCTGACACTCGTAGAGTAGCTTATTGAATCCATTCATGTAATAACTTGACCTTTCCTAGTCTAGCTCATGAGCCCATCACATCCCCAGTGTCCAACACACAGTAAAAACTCAACCATGTGTATGGAGGATAGAATGCACTAGCCATTCTTTGTCTCAAATCGGGAACTGTAACTCTGTCCCCGGGATGCACACAGAGGGGTCTATTAGTCCCTGCCCATCATTCACCTGGTCCCATGCCCCTCATGCCAAACCCATGCCCAGAGAAGGGTTTACCAGATTTACCAAATAAAAGTACATGAGACAAGTTAAATTTGAATTTCAGGTAAATAAGAAATGATTTTTTTTAGCATAAATATGCCCTTATCCAAAATTTGGAACATACTTACACTAAAAAATTTATTGATTGCTTATCTGGAATTCACATTAATAGGGCGTCCTATGTATCTAACAACCCTGAACTCCCCTCCTTCCCACCACCCCCACGCCCGCTCACCCCTCAGGTGCTGCTGCTGCCGCTTGTCCAGGGGGCTTGAGGACCTCCCACCCATTCTCCTGCGGTGTCCTGGGCTCCTCTAGAGCGAAGCAGATATTCCTCCCCTCCCCACGGCCCCCCAGGTTCCTCTGCTCAGAGGCAACCTGAGAAGAGGGCACACCGTGAGGAGCCTGGGTGCTGCAGAGACCAGCACCTAGGGCCAGAAGCCAGAGCTTGGCACCCGTGTGTGTTGGGAGGGGAAGGTGACAGCCCCTGTCCTGCCCCACCCTGCACCTGCATCCTCCAGGCTCCCCTGGGGCCCAAACCCCCAGAGCTGCTGGTTTCTGTAGGGGCTGCTGGGGCAGCCCCAGGGGTAGCTGCGGGGGTAGGATACAAAAATCTTAGCTGGCTTTGGAGGGATGCAGGGCAGACCACTGGCAGGACCAAATCACCAGTTGTTTGTGTGTGGGGGCAGGGAAAGGGGATGGGCATCTACCCCCACCTGATGCGCAACCCCTGGTGCCCACTTCCACTGTGTCTGCCCCATGCTGGGTGATGCTGGGGGGACTGAGCCCTGGCCCAATCGCCAGGAGCCCCCAAGCTGGGGAGACATAGCTGGACAGACACCCCCAGTCTCTGGGGTCAATGCTGGGGCTGGGGGAGCAGGAGCTCTGGTCTCAGATGAGGAAGAGGATGGGGGTCCTGTGGAGGGTGTAGAGACTTGAGGGGGGACCTGGTTCCTTCCTCACCCCCAAAACCCTCCCCAAGCAATCACCTCATCTCCATTTCATTCTTTTTTTAAAAAAAAACATTGTTTTTTTTTAATTGGGGAATTTGGGGATGGGAACAGACAAGTTGCTGTCCTTTTGTTCTTTAGTCTAGTTGTGGAGGACGTCGCTTCACTGGCCCAAGTTGGCACCATCATTGCGCTCTTCCCGGGTGAGGCAGATCAGTCGCCAGCTCCTGGACCCCCGCTCACAGCGGCTGCTAGCGGCTCACTGCGGCTGCTGGCCGCTCACGCTGGCTGCTGGCCGCTCACGCTGGCTGCTGGCTACACACAGTAGCCCATGGCAACCCACTGCAGCAGTGGCCCTCATATGTGGGATCCGAACCGGGGCCCTCTGGCGTCCCAAGCCAGCTCTTAACCAACGCGCCACTCGGCCAGCCCTCCATTTCATTCTTTAAGTGACTCTTGAATGTGTCCCTCCTCCCGTCCCCAGCACACCCCAAATTCTCACTCCTGACCTCTAGCACCTCCCAAAGCTCCCCAGTGCCCCCTGGGGAAATACCAGGCCCCAGAGAGCCCCAGCCTCACCTCTCAGCGACCCCTTCCAGCCCTACTCAGTCCCCCACCGCTGCCCCAGCACCCATGGACCATCGCTAGGCACACCAACAAAAGGGAGAAAAATGGAACAAGAGGGGATAGAAAATGCTAGGGTCAGGAGGGGTCAGGGAGGAGATACTGCACCAAGATCTGAAGGAAGTGAGGGCCCAAGCCATGCAAAAAGCTGGAGGAAAGAGAACAGCAGTTGGCACAGCACACACAAAGGCCCTAAGGTGGGGAACAGCACAAGGTGGGTGAGCTGGGGGCTGAGTGAGGTGCAGACATTAGGGGAGGGGTGTAGAGATTGCAGGGGTCACACGGAGGCTTATGGGCTAGTAAGAAGTGGGCATTTTGCTCAAAATGAAAGAGCCACAGTCAGGTTTGGCACAGGGACCCCTGCAGCTATGGGGAAAGGGGCACAGGAGAGGTGTCATGCCCCAGGCAGGCCCCCCCACGCCTGGCATTATTTTCCCTCTGCTTCTGGGCACCCCTGCTCTGGCCTCTGCTCTGGGGTTCACAGCCACCCGCACGTGCCCAAACCCATGGCTGGGCTGACTTCCTTCCAACTCCCTCCTCTGCTTTTCTCAACCTGTTTCCGCTGAACCCAGCGGCCCACTTCCTCACTCTTACATCTGAGTGACTGACCCCAATAAGACGTTATAGGAAACTTCACTTTCTGTGGTTTCAGCTTCGCGGTTTCAATTCCCTTGTCTCCCTCGGGTGCCTCTGCAAGCCCCTTCCCCAGCCCCTATGCTTGGCACAGGCTCCCCACGCTCTATGCCCACCAGCCTCCTCCACCGACATCCCTGGAGCCAGAGAAGCTGACAGGTGGGCCACGAGCAGACTCTGCAGCCCCAGCACAGCTGAGGCTAGAGGTGCCTTGGCAAATTCAAGGCTCTGAGCAGGCCTGCAGCAGGGCAAGGTGCAGAGGTGGCAACTGGCCCTGGGTGTGCAGTGGGAGCTTGGCCAGAGTGAGAGTGTAATGGGTTGAATTGTGTCCCCCCAAAAGATATGTCCACAGGCCACTATTAAAAAACAAATGAACAAACAAAAAAAACCCCACAGAAACTAACAAGTGTCGGTGATGATGTGGAGAAATTGAAACCCTCATCCACTGTTAGTGGGAATAGAAAATGGTGCAGCTGTTGTGGAAAACAGTATGGAGTTTCCTCAAAACATTAAAAATGGCATTTCCATACGATCCAGCAATTCCTCTTCTGGGTAAATCCCCAAAAGAATTGAAAGCAGGGTCTCAAAGAGATATTTGTATGCCAACATTCACAGCAGCATTATTCATAAGAGCTAAACCATGGAAGCAACCCAAGTGTCCATTGACATCTGAATGGAAAAGCAAAATATGGTCCATCCACACAGTGGAGAATTGTTCGGCCATAAAATGGAAGGAAATTCTAACACACGTGACAACATGGATGAACCTTGAGGACATTATGCTGAGTGAAAGAAGCCAGACACAAACGGATCACTGTGTGATTCCACTTATATGAGGTCCCTAGGGTAGTCAGATTCCTAGATATAGAAAGTAGATGGTGGGTGCCAGGGGCTGGGGGAGGGGGATGGGAGTTAGTGTTTAAAGGGACAGAGTTTCAGTTTGGGAAGATGAAAATTTCTGGAGATGGATGGTGTGATGGCTGCACCACAATGTGAATATACTTAAGGCCACTGAACTGGAAACTTAAAAATGTTTAAGACGGTGAGCTACATGTTACATGTATTTTAACACACACACACACACACACACACACACTCACACACGATTATGTCCATGTCCTAACCCCTGGAACCTCAAAATGTGACCTTATTTGGAGTAAGGAGTCTTCGCAGACATAATTAGCTAAGGATCTTGAGATGAGTTCATCTTGGACTAAGGGTGGTCCTATATCCAATGACAGGTGTCCTTAGAAGACAGAGAGACACACACACATGAGAAGGCCATGTGATACCAAAGACAGACACTAGAGTGATACTGTCATTAAGCCAAGGGTTGCTGGTAGCCCCCAGAAGCCAGAGAGAGGCCTGGGACAGACTCCCTCAGAGACTCCAGAAGGAACCAACCCTGTTACCACCTTGACTTCAGACTTCTGGCCTTCAGGACTGTGAGATAATAAATTCTGTGGTACTTTGCTACACAGCCCCAGGAAACTAATTGAGAGTGCCCATCCCTGTCCTCTACCTGCTGGGACAAGGGCTTCGCGTCAGCCTGAGCGTCCTGGTTCCACTGCCCACCAAGGACCACAAGACAGTGGAGAGTTGGAGCAAATGGTCCTTTTAATATCTGGGTTGCTCAGAGCCACGGCCAATGGCCTGAGCCCCCAGGCAGAGCTGGTGGCCGGACCTTGTCAACACCACCTGGCTTTTTGAAAACGAAGCCTGGCGTGTGGCGGTGGAGGGGCCCAGCCTTGCAAGGTCCCAGCCCCCTCAGGCTGCACGTGGTCCCAGCTGTGGCATCCCTTGGGACAGACTACAAAGTGGAGTGCTTCTCGAAGGGCACGGTCAGGAGTCGGGCCGCTGCCTCGTCCAGGAACCAGCAGAGTTTCCCAGTGTGGGGCTGGACTAGGGCGGCGGGGAGTGGGTTCTCCTCCTTGTCCTCCAAAATGCGCTGTGAAGAGGGCAGATGTGTGAGGCCCCACCGCACCCCCAGCACCCCTCAGAGCTTCCAGGCCCCCCATGGATTAGGCTCTCCTACTCTCAAGGTTTGATCCCTTCCAGATGTCTCAGCTTCAAACAGTCAGTAGGGACAGGTCCCTTCCCTTCTATCATCTGTGACTGTATAATACAGGGGTCAGCACACCTTTTCTGCATAGACCAGAGTCACTATTTCAGCTCACATCGACGTATTGGTGAGCGTCTTCCAACAAATCTTTATTAGTAGACACTGAAACCTGAATTCTGTCCAATTTTCACACATCCAGGAATATTCTTCTTCTTTTGATTTTCCCCCCAACCACTTAAAAAAGTAAAAACCCTTCTTAGCTAGCAGGATTTGGCCCAGTGGTCTGCGATACGTCGACCCCTTGATGTGACCTCATGAGTGGGCATTATGTGCGTAAACACTGCTTTCTGCCAGCTGGGCCTGCCCCAAGCACTGTGTGTCTATAACTCACTGACCACAGCCTAGTGAGGGCACCTGTTCTCACCCCATTTTACAGTCAGGGAAGCTGAGGCTCTGGGTGGCCTCCCTCAAGGGGTCCATGGGGAGGGGCCCCCTGCAAACCACCTTGTAGATGAGGAAGTTGAGGCTGGGGGGGTGGCCACCTGAGGCCATGCTGGGCATCACTGACAGGGAGATGGGTCTGCTGGGCTCTTTAGTCTACACCCCAAACCCTAACATTAAGCCACCCCTGTGAAGACATCTGGGCCTGACAATTTGTGGGGAGAGAATTATTATTTATCTTTAAAAATATTTTCAGTTTCTCCTATAGTTGTTGATCTTTTAAATGATGGCAATTAAAATATTTTCATTTAGCTTATTTTCAATCTTAATTATTTTATATTTTCCTAAAATGTTATGTATATAACTATACCTTTTTCTTATTCCTACCTTTTTATTTATTCTGACATATGATTTTTTTCCTTTTTGACTGGCTTTGCCAGGGGTTTGTCTATCTTTTGGATCTGTTTACCATTAGCTTTTAAGAATATTAACCAATTCATTAATTTCTGATTTTGATTTCATTTATTCCATCTGCTGCCTTTTCTTAGATTTGTGTTACTGTTCATTTTTCCAATTCTAGAGTAAAGTACTTGATTTATTTCAATAGTTTTCTATTTAATAATTTTTTAATGTATTTAATGCTATGAATTTACCTGAGTGCAGTTTTGGCCCCATCTCATCAATTTCCTTTCATAATACTTCATTCCTAACCACCCTGTAGTTAGTTTCTATCTTCCCTTCAAACCAAGAATTACTGAAGTATCTTAGGATCCGGTACTTCCAGCACAATAGCACTTGGGGTCATTCATATTCTATCCCCAGGTCCACATGCCCGTGACCTTCCTGGGAATGAGGCCCTCAGTGTTACCTTCAGAACAGCTGCCTTGCCTTCTCCGGTTGCCACAAAGATGACAGTTCGGGCCGCATTCAGCACAGGAAGTGTGAGGGTCACTCGCTGTGGCGGTGGCTTGGGGGAGTCACTGATAGGGGCTACAATCTTCTCCCGCTCCTGGGGGAGGGAGGCCAGGGTAGAGACAGGAGGACATCACTTCTACTTCTTGAGCATGCATGCATGTCAGGCATGGTCCAGCCATTATTCCGTCCCACTCTACTAATCCAGTGGTGCTTCATTTAAGACCCCTGTTTTAAGATGGGTAAACTGAGGCTCAGAAGGGGTAAGCCCAGTGGGCATGCCTGTTGACATAAACTGACTTGAACCCTGCTGTAGGCACCTCCTAGTCTCTCTCTGAAAACCCCAGATGGTAGAGCTCAGGGCTCAGGTGTAAGCGGGGCCCTCGCAGGTACATTCACTTGCAGAAGGGGATAGTCTGGGAAAGCTGAGCAGGTGTGGCCACCAGGGCCTATGTGGGTGCACTCACCTGCAGGAGAGGATGGTCTGGGAAAAGTGAGCAGGTGTGGCCATCAGGGCCCACCCCTAGGATCAGAAGGTCGAAAACTGGGATGGAGTCCCCTTGGAAGGCCTGGGTGGGGAAGAAGACAGTTCAGAAAGATTGTGAGGGAGGGGCTCAAAGGATAGATAGTTGTCAGAAAAAGAACTGCAAGTGGCTGTAACACAAGGAGCAATGCTCAGCCTCATGTGCATAAAAGGGACTCTAATCAACAAAGTTCCACGTTTCACCTGACCAACTGGCTGAGAGTCTGGGGACACAATTGTCTCCAAGATGTGAGGAACCAGGCCCACCACCAGGATGTCAGAGGCCATCCTTGGGGACCCCAGGGCAGGGCTGTGGCCTCTCAGAGGGGGATCCTCAAAGGGGTCTGCCAAATGACCCCACAGGAGTTTCTGCCAGTGATGATCATGCAGTGCCACCCACAAGACTGCTCCGTCACCTTGGGAGTAACCATCTCATGGACGAGGTCTCCCTGAGGCTGCTCCAAAACACGCACCTGTCTCAGTTTCTTGGCATAGTCCTCCGCCGCCTCCTCCACGGGCAGCTGGGGGTTAATGGTGATCACCTGGCTGTCGGGGATGGGCAGCTTGGAAAGCAGATGCGTCTGTGGCATATGGAGGGGCAGTGTCACCAACAGTAACACACGGGTCAAGGCAGTGCAGGGTTTGCACATGTGACCACCTGGATCCTCCAGAAGACTCAACTGTCATTACACCCATTTCCTGTGTAAGTTGAACTCCACGTGGATCCCAGTGCAAATCAGCCAGGGGTCTTTCAAATTCGTCATGACGGGGAGCTTTTGGCCCTGGCCTGCACCTATCTGGCCACATCAAGGCCCTGTTTCAAAGCCCCCATGGTTCCTTTGCCCTTGGGATAAAACCCAGCCCTCTCTGCTCTCTATGAGGTCCTGTTGACCTTCCTGCCCCAGCCTATACACAAGCTATACACTGGCGGTTGAGCAGGGCAGGTTCAAACCCCGGCTTCCCCACTGGTCACTAGGTAAGCGCAGGTCTTCTGGTCTCAGTTTCTCCATCTATTAAATGGAGGTACTAACAGCCCCTGGCCTCATAGGTTATTGTGGAGTTTCATGAGAGGATGTGGATCAAGCACTTGGTAATCAGTACAAATTCCTGCTTATTACAAAAAAACAAAAACAAAAACAAAAAAACCCCCATAAAATCATCAGCTCAAACTTCTTATGCAACACACTCAAGACCTGAGTGACCTTAGGCTCCTAGCCAAGCCCACCCCTCCCACACTTCCCTGGGCAGGTTGTTTTCCTCCCCTACAGCAGGAGTGAACACAGTTGCAGCAGGGGGAAAACCAGGGCAGACCACGGCTCCTCCAAGCCTCAGTTTCCCTTCTTGTAAAACGGAGGGTGTTCCCTGATTCTACAGGCATTGGGGCCCAGGGCCAAAGACAACACCCTCGGAAGTCATCAGCACACAAGCTGCGTTAAGACCATAGAGAACTCGTCCAGCTTGATAGGAAACCGGCTCCACACCAGACCACTCCTATCGGGCTCTTCCCCAACTCTGCGCTCTCACGCTCCGAGTCTGCGGCGGCTGCATTTCCCAGAGCGGCTGGGCCACTCCTCTTCACTCCGTGCCTTTTGCCCAGGGCTTTCCCTCTGCCTGGCTGCCAACTAAAGCATAAAGAGGGTCTTCGAGGCCCCCACCGGCCCACCCGGATGGCGGTGCAAATGCAGCCCAGGTGGGAACTCGGGGCACCCGGCCGACCATTCCTAGCTCCTATCCAGTTAGAGGCAGAGGGCACTGTGTGACCCCCGGCGGCCCCCGTAGCCGCGTGCAGGCAGCGGGCACCGCCTTCTCGACATGAGCCCCGGCGGCTACCGTAGCTCTCACCCGGTAGAGGCCGTACGTGCTTTCGGCATGCTCGAAGGGGACCAGGCGCTCGTCGCAGAAACCCAGTGTCCAGCGCTTGAGACTGTCGGGCCCGGCGGGGGCAGCGGCGGCAGGCAGCTCACGGGCCAGCATCGAGACGAGACTGCCACCCGACAGGCCGAGCGCGAAGCGGGCGCGGGCTCCCGCCAGGCAGCACGCGGCCCGCTGCGCTACCAGTTGCGCCAGCGATGCACCTAGCTCCTGCGGGCTCGAGAAGACCGAGATAAAGCCTGGGGCCGGCGCGGCCATGGCGACAGAGGGGAGGCGGAAGCGCTCCCAGCGGCCTCCAGTGCGCCTGCGCTAAGGCCGACTCGGCGGCACAGCGCTCAGTGCTTGTGGTGGCCACCTTTGGCACATGCGCAGTCCCACGAGTGAAGCCAGCGCAGGGCGGGGCCGTCGGACCCAGGGCGCTCATTGATTCTTAGCATACTGGGCTTGAGTTTTTTTCTTTGGGTTGGGGATGTTCGAGCTGGCGCAGTTGCCCCCAACGCCGTGGTGTTAGGGCGAGGCCAGAGCTGGGGGACCCCAAGAGTGGGACGTGGGGTAGCGTGGCGTGAAGGAAGATGAGAGATTTCTTGAAGGAGGGCGCATTTTGGTGCGCTTTAAAGTTCCTGAACCTTCTAACATTCATCTTGTTAGTTGTCTTTAATTAAAGCGTAAGCTCCATGAGGACCGGGTTTGTTTTGTTCACTGATGATTGGAAAGCCCCCTGAGCTATGCCTGGCACAGACTGGGGGCCGAAAAACATACTTGTTGAATT